TCTTGCTGCAGTGCGATGGCTCTGCTCTGACGGTAGGCAGTTAGTTGGACTTTGAATGTGCAGTACAAAATGACCAGTGCACAGATGCTTATGACTAGCATCATTGGAACCTTGAACAGGATGACATAGTTTGTGGTCATGAAGGCGCTGGCAGTCAAATAATAAGCAATGATTCCTATCCATGAGATTATGGTTACTTGCAGGACTTTTTCTCTTGTGATGTTGTTGAGGTAGTAATTTGGGTGTTCTATGGCTAAATACCTCTCGGCACTTGCTATAGTGTAGGTCACCATCGTCATGCCAGTGCAGACCAGAAACAGCAGGGYRCABATRGTGWAYTGACAAGGTGAATRGCAATSGTYCAGRAGGCAAGCAAGGAAGGCACAGTAMATCGGTTYGACCAGCAATCCCACCAGSAARTCTGTCACTGCYAAGAAGGCAAGCAAGACGTTGAAGGRGACTGATCTCAGGTTTTCATCACYAAACACWGCTAATATGATGAGAGCGTTGAGGACAGCAGTCGGCAGGGAGGCAATGCCATTGACAGTAGCGAGAACGGTCCAAGTCGGATGAACTGAATGTGGACGGTTCATGTTGTAGGGATCAAATAACTGCACCGACATGAAGCAGACTGCATGGCTGCTACTACTAGCATCGACCAAACTAGTAGAGTTCTTCGCCATGGGACTTTGAGTTTTTTCTGCGATGGAAACCGTTCTACATGCTTCATTCGATTAATTACGAAACAAACTGAAACAAACAAATTTTACCTCGAACCATTTGATGTATCCGGACTTATGCATTTGTCTTTTTTGGTGCATTGTATTCAGGGACAATGCGTGGAAGTCGCAAGAAACATATTCAATCTTTTAGTTGATCCTTTTACCACAGAAAAAAAACTACAACAAAAAGCAAAAACACACAAGAAAAACAATCGCTCTGCACGGAATTTAAAAGTATCTAGATTTACATAATGTTTGGAAAAATATAGCTGGAAAACTGATAGATCAAGATCACAGGATTCGTACAGATATTTTCATACAGAATTCAAGGACTTTTCATGGACATTTTNNNNACGTACGAATGTCTTGGTTTTCACACTGATTATATATCAACCTATGTTTAACACATTTATGAAATAAAATGTGGATGAACTCTATTTTGAAACAGAGTTTCTTTTGTATTTTAATACAAATATTTTAAAAAACCTCTTATCCAATCATAAGCACTCAAAACAATAGCTTCTAATTTGCTATGTTCCCCACGTAGAATTGCCCTAATATTGTAGCTAAAGAAAGCTTTCGTGAAGTCGGAATCAGATATTAAATAAAGTGTTAGAAAATGAAAACTTGTGAAATTATAGCAGATTTTCTTGTTTGAACCAATGGGATGGATGGATTATACAATACACAATTAGAACCTTCTTGCATTCCTTTGCCGTTTGCTTCCCTAGTTCTTACTCGGGGCATTGACTTTAAAAAAAAAATACTCACGCAAACTGTCTACCTAACCAGGGCATGAACAACTGCGTTTAGAAAACAAGTTGCACGGGAAACCTGTGGTTTTGCACCATAGCGAGGCAGAATCGAAAAACATCCCCAATATAATCCTTTTTAGTTTGTTTATCCTTTTTCATTGTCAAGGGAAATAATTTTTGAAGATAAAAAAAGTCACAATTTTGAAATGACTTGACACTGTCGTTGATTTGAGGGCTGTAACAAACATGCTGCTTGCTTTTAACCGCAAAAAAGGGTCTATTGTAGGTGCTATAAATACTGGGTCTATTCTTCTAAATAGATCTAAATAACTGTTCCTGTACGATTTTTTTTTTCCTGGGAAAGGGATTTTGAGCTACATTGTTGACAATCTCACAAGCAAATGTGGCGCCCTTCGTTCTTTAAAATAATTTTGTTTCTGGAAAATCGAATTGGAAAAACGTTTATAAGGTAAAAAAGGCTTATATAACGTTGTTTTAGTCTAAAAAGGTTCATATTTTTTTAGTTAGGAAATTTTTATTTTCTTG